AATTAAAACGCCATTAAAAAAGATAATTTTATTTTTTTTATCTTTAAAATTGTTTCTTTGCATGATAAAGGGTTGTTTTTAGCAAAACATCTAAGAATCAGAAGATAACTAATAAACATTTATGAAAAATGAAGTAAGGAAAGAAAATATTTTTTAATCCAAAAACATAATTTGGATTGAACATGGGGGTAGGACGTGAAAGTGACATTGTAAGTGCATATTTGAAAATAAGATCTCTCTAGTAAAGTAGTAACTAATTAAGATGTGGCTTCAAGGTTCAAGAACTTGTTTGGTATGGCTTTTATGGATGGATCGTGCCAGGCCTAATAGTAAATTTCAATTACTGACTTGCCATGCACATCCTTGTAACACAAAATCTACCATTATTCAACTCAAGATCTTAAGCATGATTGATTGAGCTTATATTGATATTTCGAACACAAATTTTTACAGGCTTTTGAGTTAGGCTTCTCACAAGTAATTACTTGGGCTGTTTATATTATAGCTCAGCCCATGAAAGTCCATCGACAGCATTTGCGCAATTTAAGGTGAACACACAACAAACGAAAGAGAGATTCATGCGCAAATGATGGGAAAGAAAAGAATGGACCATGCGACCAACAAACAAACAAAGCATTCTTATGGTCATAACTACTTCTTTCTTTCATCTTTTTTTTGCTTTAATCTCAATGTCTTAACCTCTTAATTGATTGGTTTATGAAAAAAAAACAGAACAAATAAAAAGAAGAGTCACTGGTAGAATTAGCAAACTCATAATAACCCCTAATGACTTTTGTCATATCTGAAACACAGACTTCTACATCAAGCTTTTTTCTTTTTTTACTTTTGACAAACCTTGTAGATCAAGCTAGGGTTATATTTACTTCTCATTTTCACCATCCCTTTTTCTTGTTTTGACCGTTTTCAACTTATAACCATATAATATTTTGTACTATTAAAGTATCATTAAAAGTTATTATACAAAAATTTGATATACATCATATTATTCCATAGTTTATAATACAATACTAGATTTTACCCCGTGGTACACCACGGGTCTAGTAATTTATGCGTATCTTTTATATAAAATCTCAACCGTTATAGTTTATACTTTATATATACATACGAAGTTAGAATTTACCCCGTGGTATACCGCATATTCATTTTTATTCATTTTTATAATTAATCATTGAAATGAGTTAATTAATTTAGTGATATGATTCTTTTTAGTTAATATAAGTATTACGATGTTATATATACGTTGTTGTATTTACCAAATATACCACCACATGGTAAATTTCTTGATTTTAATTTTAATAATTAATAGTATTATATGTAATTTTAATAATAATTAATAATTAATTATTAATAGTATTTGTTATTGAATA